TTCAACTTTACCATGTCAAAACTTTGGTGTCCTTCACTTGATTTTCACAATCAAGGGCTCATTGGAAAGCTCTTGACGAGAGCAACGCCAGGGTACCAATCTCCATTATCCAGCCGCCACAAATCAGGCGCGGTAACACAGCAAAGTCGTCTCCAAGCCTGATATGCAAGCAAATTCGTTCCATCACCGCCATTCCACTCTCCTTCATCGCAGAACGCTCAAATCTGTTCGAGACGATTCAAACTTCAGCCGGCTACGTCATTATCATGTGCTCAGTCGCTCAAAGAGCACACGAAAAGGGGTTTTCCCCCAAAATGGCGAAATGATCGATCAAAAATTTGAATTTGCCGAGGTAAGAATACGGCGTGCGATATCTCTGGCGTCCGACATCGTAACTCTTCGGCGATTGTTGCATTGGACAGCTTGGAGTTTCCGCTACCACGTAGACCCTTCGATTGTGGAATTTGCTCAAGAAACGATGGAGTTACGAAGATTTTACCGCCTGCAGACTTTCGATCTCATTAGATCGAAACTCGTACAGTCCGTCCACAAAGGGTTAAGAGCCACAGGAAATTTTCAAAAATCTGCATTTTTTCGTGTTCCTCGGATCATAGCTTCAGTTCTACTCACTCAATCCTCACAATCTAGGGCTTCCTGGAACGGTCTCCGCGAGAGGAAGAGAATGAGGTTGATCATGATAGCCAGCACACCGTCTATCCAGCGCTAGATCGCAGCGACAGTACGAAAAATACCCCAAATGCGTCCAATTGCGTCCCGCTCCAGATATTTCATTCTGCTCGATCGTGGAGTAAACCAGCGTGACGAAAAGTCTCAAAAATCTCAATACTAAAGTTGCACTGCGCGCTTTTGAAATTGCCGCGATCGCGGCTCAACTTACGAGTGATTTATCTCGGGAACCGTTGCTCGCAGCGCTTCGCGGATTGTTTCTCCCGACAGGTGAGAGTTTTCTCTTCGCCCTGGATATTTCGATCGATGGATTTGAGCGAGATTGGACTGAGTTACGATCTTTTGAAGTTTTGCATTTGAATGCGTCGTTTACGACGCATTCAAGTATGGGGCGGCTCTTGAAGGGTTAACACAAAAAATCAAAATGGTAGAATTGCATCAAGGGGGCGGGGTGCTGCACAAATCTTACCACCATTGCAATTTCAAAATCCAAAATCAAGCTTCAGGAAAGCACACGTCAAGCAACACAACTTTCTACGAATACCATAGTTGTGAGGGCAAGTACTGTTTGTAGACTGCCCAGTGAACCAGCAAGGACAACACACACACACACACACACACACACACACACACTACATTCTATGAAGAACCGTCTGTTACTGAAAGTTACCTTGCACAATTAGAGCAGTGGTGCTGTTAGTCGTTCCAGCATCATTGTTTGCCAGGCATGTGTAACTGCCTTCGTCGGCGACAGACAGACGAGACACGGTCAGCGTGTTGCTGTTGACGCGCACACGAGACTGGTCCACTGGCCTGTTGTTGAACAGCCAAATTGTCACCGGGTCTGGCTTTCCGCTGGCTACACATAGCAGACGGAATTCACTGTCCACAGATCTGACGTAGAGAGGGTCTGGCGCCACCACAATCTCGGGTGGCACTGGAACACAAAACAACATCAGCACAGCAGCAGCATGGTGATGGTCAATACACTCAATCGGTGGACAAAACTGCTTCATCCTTTGTGGAATCGTCAGCACAACACAGAGAAAATGAAGCCGAATCTGATAGCAATGAAAAGCCAGATTTATACCCGGCCCAAACGCATCTTGCCAGAGTGCTCAAACTGACAAGTTCATGTCAGCATACAGCAACTAGCCCCTGATTGAATGTGGATGAGAAAACTACGTCATATGTCTTCTTGTGAGCTGGAGTAGATTCACTACTTCGATAGGACTTCATCTCAAAGAGCTTACCCATTTGCCTGGCATTAGCTACATGTGTCCGGTCTGTGCATGAGATCTAGCAATGCCTTTTAAATCGGTAGCTTAATGAGGATGAAGTGTCCGAGCGTATTGATACTGACTGTGTGAATGAATGGTGTACATACTACTCTCAGGAAAGTAAGCACAGTCAAACCTCTTTAGGACAAACATCAAGGGACCGATGATATTTGTTCGCAATAACGGGAGTTCTTCTTATCCATATGTTTCACCCAGTGAATACACAGGGTTTTATCCAATAAAGTTACGAATACTAGTTCTTCTTAGGCAAACATTTGTCTTATCAGTGTTCTTCCTAACGAGGCTTCACTGTATAGACCATTGCAGCGTACACCAGTCTACCAGAACTAGTGTATCTACATGTTCAGTGTCACATGTATATACCAGTCTACCAGAACTAGTGTATCTACATGTGACACTGAACATGAACATGTATACTAGACCCACTTACCATGGATGGTGAGAAAGCCTGTACTGCTCCTACGACCAGCCGGGTTGGAAGCTACACATGTGTATGAGCCCTCGTCACCTAGCTCCACACGGCTAATGTTCAAGATACCGCTGGGAAGACTGGTGATGCGCGATGTGTTGCGAATACGATCCTGCCCGTCCCACCACGTGATCTGAGGCGTGGGCGAGCCATCAGAGAGACAGATGAGAATGGCCCGTTGCCCAACGATGGCAATCACATCACTGACACTGGTGAACGACGATGCAGCTGCAAACAACGCATAAACAAACACAGATTGGCAGTAAGCCATTACCCACTTGTTGTTCAAAACTGCTAACTACAACAAGACAGGAGGGTGATTTTCACCATGCTTAAAAGCAGGTTTACTTAACCCGCGTTTTGCCAGTTTGTGAGATTTTTCTTTAAATTTTCACCAGCATAAAAGCCCGAGTTGCGTATCGAGTCATCTGCTCTGTACACAGAAAACATACCAGCATACATTAACTAAACCAAACGGCGAGCAGAGCGGGCCTTTTCAGTTTCACAAGTAGTAGCATTCCAGCATTACATGAAAGGCATGCAACACCCCAGAGTTCTGCACGATGGGAAGGTTCACTATCACGTATTTATTGGCAATGAAAGCAAAGCATACAGCAGAGATACCGATAAAGAGGATATCCACTTTGAAAAGGTTCTCTACACATTAATCAAGCTATTCCAAATTCGGCCACATTAAGCCTTTATATAGGCTATCCCTGTTCAGGATTGCTGCACTACCAGACTTACTCATCAGTAGGATGTAGCAATCCCTAGTGTCCGGTCGGCGTACACCATTCTCAGCCACACACGTGTAGCGTCCATCATCGCCCGGCAAAGCTTGGCGCCCTCGCAGCAGACCATTGCTGAAAACTCGCATGCGGGACGTGCTTTCGATTTTAATCCCGTCTTTCTGCCAGCTAAGGCATATGGAGGCAAGGCAAAGCACAATGGAATACAACAGATGCAGTATTGCCCATCAATGCTGTCACCAAGCTGTCTCACACCCAACACTGCAATCCAAAACACACTGCAGTAACGCAACAAAAAGCAAGAACTTTGAACTAGCAGTTCACAGGTTATGATAATATTTGGTCTTCCAAAACCTTTGTTCTACTTAGTGTACTCTTCGAGAGGAAGAAAGGCTTGCATCTTCTCAGTGCATTACCTTACCTGATTGTTGGTGTTGGGTCCCCTGATGCTCTACACTGTAGCTGGAAGCCATTCCCTGGCACGACACTGGTGTTGCATTGGCCTTGGGCAGGCTGTGTGATGCGCGGTGGCTCTGCAAGGAGTGACGGACACGGAGCGCATGTTTAGGTATGAACGGGACTACTTGATCTAGGGGAGGGGGGGGGGTAATTACCAGACTCCCTGAGAACCACAACATGCTACTATCACCCAGCACTGGACCATGGACCATCCTATACTGAGTACAATGTCATAGTGAAGCAAGTCTAGTATCCTGAGCGAGCAGCCAATTCACTATAATTTTCATTGGGAAAATGTTGATGTTAGCATCACTCCAACTTCGGACCTTTCATTGGTCCTGTTTCTACTGTATAGTAAGATTGCACATAACGGCGTGGGAAAAAAAGGAAATGGGTAGCAAAAACAAAAAGAACAACTATGGGTGCATGGAAGCAACATGAGCCGTGCTGATGACGTGCCGTATGCTCCACTGCCACGTCCTCCCAAGGACAAACCACACAGCATGCACAATGGATAGGGTGGAGAAAAAGGTGGAAAGGCTTGCCAGAGAAAGTGAGAGGGAGAGATGGAGAGCGACCAAAGAGAGAGAGTGAGAGAGTGAGAGAGAGAGAGAGAGAGAGAGAGAGAGAGAGAGAGAGAGAGAGAGAAGAGAGAGAGAGAGAGAGAGAGAGAGAGAGAGAGAGAGAGAGAGAGAGAGAGAGAGAGCGAGAGAGAGAGAGAGAGAGAGAGAGAGAGAGAGAGAGAGAGAGAGAGAGAGAGAGAGAGAGAGAGAGAGAGAGCGAGAGAGCGAGTAAGTTACATTTATAAAGACAGGTAAGTCTGACAAATGAGGACTGAGACCTCTACAACAGGGTTTTTACGCCTGAAAGCAGGTGCATGATTTAACAAGCAGGTTGTCAGTCTAGATTTTATGCGCAGATGGAGAAAAAGCGCAGAATTTTTGTAATGAGATGAAAAGCAGAAATAATAAGAAATAATAAGAAAAGATGAAATGAAAGCCTGAGAGAGAGAGAGAGAGAGAGAGAGAGAGAGAGAGAGAGAGAGAGAGAGAGAGAGAGAGAGAGAGAGAGCGAGAGAGAGAGAGAGAGAGAGAGAGAGAGAGAGAGAGAGAGAGAGAGAGAGAGAGAGAGAGAGAGAGAGAGAGAGAGAGAGAGAGAGATATGGTAATGACTAATTGATGGTGAACTTACGCAGCACCTCCAGACACACTGGCCGGCCTGTATCGTTTCCAGCTATGCTAACTACTTGACAGCGATAGCAATTCGCATCATTCAAAGAAAGTCTGGTGATGAGAAGCTTGCCATCTGCCAACACCTACATAATAAACGACAATGTCAGCATACAATCTTTGACAAATATTTTCGTTGTCTACACCATACTCTGCTACTACAAGTCATACAAAGACTCCAGTTTGTCTGCATGCAGGTATTATCGAAACCTACAGTACGCTGTGAAGAAGCAGTGTCCGACAGAATAATCAACTCTCACCAGGAACCTTGGATCTGTCCGACTGATTGTGTCGATTGGAACGCCATCACGACACCACACAGCGGACGCCTGCACCAAGCTGCGGTAATCGCATCTGAGCTGCACGGAACCACCTAGTTCACCACTGATATCCGTAAGCCAATCAATCACGGTTGGAGGCGCTAGCCAGGACACAAATAGGATAGTAGAAACAATAGCAGATGAATAAAATTATGGCAGGGCTTTCTACCAAGTGCCAAGCTAACATTGTGTTAGGGGCCCAAAGTTAGAGTGGTAATAGGTCGGGTCATTTGACCCAACAAGACCACACGGCACTTGCAGATGACAGCAGGAACAGTTCACTAGCCACCCTCCACAATAGCAAGTAGTGATGCTCCTGAAAAGTCTTGTTCCGTCCCATGAAGATGACGGGAACTCATTAGAAGAAAAGCAGTTGTTGAATGGATCCTAAATGTTATGTTGATCCCTGCATTGGCTACACCAAAGTACAAAGCGTGGTCTGCAGTGGAGGCTTGCCACTCCTCACTGTGTCCTGGAATAATCTCAGACGTTCTTCATGTACTTGTTTGGTGTAAGCGGTCGAGCAGAAACACGTGGTCTGATATTATTCTACAGCACTATCATGGCAGACACTAGCAGAAAGGATTCGGCACGTGAAACAAATTCTCATTCTCATCATGTCCATACCTACTGTGGATTCTTTAATTTCTTTATCTTGAGTATTAACAGTGAAGAGAGGGGGGGGGGGGCAGGCTTACATGGTAACCCTGGCTGGACAGGTGTTGGCGTGAGGCGATAGAACGTCATGTTTTGAGAATCGATACCCTGCACACGCACGTAGAAGAGCTGCTGAGGTGCCTCGAATCCTGGATGAGCCAGCCTCGGGTAGGGATTTGACGTTGTCCAGTTGAGAGGAATGTCATGGATGACGGTACCAGCAAGGTTTATGAGTTGCATGCCGGTGACTAGAAGATGGCCTGCAGCATCACTGGGCTGAAGCACAATGAACGATGACTGGCCTGCAGACAAGTGGAACACAGTGCCAAACAAACACATAGTCATGACGCATGCAACACAGGTACAGTCGTCCCTCTCTAATCCGGCACCTTTTGCAACGGCATTTTCTGCTGGATAAACAAGGGTGCTGGATTATCAAATCCTGTCCTCCAACCCGGCCCACCTGTTAACATACATGTTTGTGTCGTACGTCAAAACGTAGGGATTTTCTTTGTCAATCCAAGTACCTTGTGGAATGCATGTCTTTTTACATACACTTGGGAATATCCTATGCACTGGCATAGGATATTCCCAAGTGTATGTTACAGTGCTCCCTGACGGTATGTGATGTACAACTGCTGGATTAGAAAATCTAATTATGTACAGTTTGAGTGATTTGGTGCAGAAAATCGCTGCTGGAGGCGGAATTCAAGTGCCAGATTAAAGCGTAGAAAATGAACTGAAAATATCCGTTTTGCCAGAAAGTGTGCTGGTTTGCAAGGGTGCTGGATAAACAAGTGCCGGATTAGAGAGGGACGACTGTACATCAAGCCAAGCCGCAAACCACCCCCTATTTCAGCGGGCTCAGAGTATGATTGAAACAATGCATACAGACACTAGCTGGATCAATGACCAACAGAGCATCTCAGTATCACTACAACCCAACCATACATAGCCCTGGTGCCTAGTACTGCAAAGTGGCAGTGTTCACACAGTTCAATGAGTCAGTCACATGCAGTCGACTCCACTTATAACGAACTCGCATATAGCGAATTTCGACATAATTAATTATAGCGACCCCTTGTCCGTGTCCCTGTTTGAACCCATACAAAATTGACCCTCTACAGTGAACATTTTTCTTCTATAACGAACCAAATATGGTAGGGCCCCCGTGTAAACCAAGTGTACTCATACTGTTATGGGCCACTTGCCAGGCATCGTCTTGCTGCTTGTACAGGGTGAGTGCATTTCTGTTATAACAAACCGTTCAGCTATAAAGAACTAATTCTCCTACACAACGGTGTTTGCTATATCAGGAGTCGACTGTACCTTCAACAGGCCTGGTGATGAAGACACGCTGTGTTCCACTCGCGACCGTGAAGTGTATCTTGAAGTCGAGAAGGCTCACGCCCTTGACGCGCACGCTGTACGGCAGTGGTGAGTCCACAAATAGATTCCACCAGCCCACAGCAGGCTTGGTAATATTTATCACAACCACAGAGCCGAGATCGACGGTCGGGAAGAACTCCTGGCCATTGGGACTCGTGACGCGAACATCCGGCAGACGAACGTTGACTCCAGTTGTTGTGTTTGTACTGACCTATGAAACGCAAGAGGACGTTAGTTAGCCCCTCAGTCACTGGCAAATACAGAGTATTCAAGTATTGCCCGTGGGACACACAACCTGTGAGTATTGCCAATAACTCCCCTGCTTGAAGAGAACTCATATCAGAGACATGAAAGTTAGGTTTTTAAGGCCGTCACCTCAGCCCAATTAGGTACTGATCCATTCTTGAACACGTGGCCAAGAAAATACGTACAGAATGAATGTCTTGTATGTCCCACATCACCAGTACAGTTCACAATAACCTATGCATGATCAAAAGGGTGTAGACAGTTCACAGCAGCCTGTCGATTATCAACAGCATGCAGACATAGAAATTCTAAACTGTGTAGAATGCGCTGCTCTTACCGACACAATCAGCTGCTGCAAGCTGCCATCCACGGGAATTTGATAACGTGCAGCACCCGGTCGTGTCTCCATAGACAGTATGTTCACCTGCCTAGCGTTGACAGAGATCTCGATAAACTTCAATACTTCGGCGACCTACAGGTAACAAGGGTTGCACGGAAAGAAGAATACCCACACCATGCATAACCAGTCGTCAAGATCCCTTTGTGATTCATTCGTACAAAAATCACACTGCATTAGGCAAAAAAGAGGATAACATAGAATATAGCTAGCCATGAAAACAACAAAAAAGTTGAAGAAGAATGGGAAGGTCTACAAGAACACACGTACTATCTAGGTTAGTTTTTGCGTGTTCTTGAAGTTGTATTTTTGAAGTAGGGCACAAGAAAATGCCACAAAGGAAGATCAAATCAGTGTAGAGTACAGTCCTCAGTATGGCATGGTGAAGAATAATGAAGGGTAAAGGACTAATGGTTCTAAGCAACGTTTAAACGGGAAGTTAAGTCTAAACATTTCACCAGTTGTAGTCTTCGGGGTGCTGAGTCGAATGGTCTTGGTCCGAGGAAGCCGAGACGCTCCCTTCCTCCTTTATTCCCAATCGAACTTGCGCACTTCTACCGAAACTGGGTGACTGCGCCCTACTAGATGGGGATTTGTATGCAAAATGTCACTAAAAGCGCCATTTCGTTCTTATAAATGCACGGATGATCGCGATTAGCCAATATGTTGTAGTCTTTTGGACGCTGAGTCGACTGGTTTTGGTCCAAGAATGCTGCGATGCAGCGTTCCTCCTTTATTCCCAATGAACATGGTTGAACAAGCGGTCACGTGCTCCTGCCTGCCCAAGTCACCTGGTCACCGCGCCAGCAGGCGACAACTTTCACACTAAGGTTCAACTCGAGTTCAACTCGAGTGACAGGACTGCATCCAAAAAAGGTCAAACAGGCTGTAAAGTTGTACCCTGCAGGCACGGTGACCAGGTGACTGGTGTACGCAGCAGCACATGGCCGCTTGCTCAACCATGTTTGATTGGGAATAAAGGAGGAACGCTGCATCGCAGCCTTTTCGGACCAAAGCCAGTCGACTCACCGTCCAAAAGACTACAAAATATGGGCCAATCCCGGTCATTCGTGCTTTTATAAGAATGAAATGGCGCTTTTGTGACATTTTGCATACAAATCCCCATCTAGTAGGGCGCAGTCACCCAGTTTCGGTGGAAGTGCGCGAGTTCGATTGGGATTATAAGAGGAAGGGAGCATCTCAGCATCCTCGGACGAAGACCATTCGACTCAGCACCCCGAAGACTAGAACTGGTGAAAATTTGATTTTAGACTTAACTTCCCCTTTAATTAATTAAGGATGATGTCTGTGCATTTCGCAGTAGGGAAATATACAACTTTACCCACACCATGGTCATTGCTCGCACCAGGACCAGCCCTACCCCCATGGTCTGGGAAGCTTCAAAGTATTTATGGTACATGCACCTCCAATTTTCTACCTTCAGGTTTCACCTGGGGGAGTACATGGAAAGTGTTTTGAAGCGGTTGTTTACAAATAGGCTTGGGGCAAAGCGTAGTCAAACTACCACCTCGCATACAATCATCACTCCACAGAAGTGTACAGGTAGTAACACACTCATACACACTCAATAGAGGCTACCTCGAGCTGACTAGACCGACCTTGTTCAGTTGTACAGTTAATATGCAGATAAACAAGACATGTGCCGGTGAAGGCTTGGAGTGACTCATTACCTCATTCTTTTGCCGGAGAAAGAAAATCTGGCCAGCTGATGCAGCAGCAATGTCTTTGAAGGCTCGGAACCCTTCTCCGCTTTGATCATTACAGTCACCCGTCAATACGAATATGACCTGGAAGAACAGCAAACAAAGTCATGTTGATGACCAGTGTCAATAGTGCACTAGCCTAGAATGTCCTATTTGTGATTTAGGTGTGCCATAGAGGAATTCTTTGTCATACACGCATGCATGGTCCTCATCTGGTTCAAAACATTTCCCTTCTCTTCTTTCAAACTGGAAAGCTCCAACGTTTGGAGAAGCCACCTTCTTCTACAATTACCGCCGAAGTCGCAACATCTCAGTTCTCTTTGTACAAACTCCTGTACAAACTCCTCTGCTTCAACCAAGTCTCATCATCAGGTGAAGTACAGGCAAAAAGCAAATGAACAAGGAAAACGGATTAAGTACAGTAGAGAGGTGATAGAAACAGCGCAAGAAAGAAGAGATGAGACAACAACGATGAATGCGTGGCCAATACACATAGAATGGACGAGAAAATGTGTTGTTTTCTATTTTGTCATGTGTACGTAGTGCTCACGTGTACATAGATTCGAAAAAGAAAATTAAAAGGTTACTAAATTTAGGGATCCCACTGACAGAACAGGGTCGATTGAATGGCAACTAGGAATCACGCCAGTCCTGCATACTGAAGAAACTTTATCACAGTATTGGGATGAGTACAATTAAACACCTCTCAATATAACTTTTCGAATCTGCAATGTATAATGGGCCGGTTACTGTTAAAAATAGTATGTCTAACATAATACTGTCAGGTCACTGATTTTTACATCATATCAAACGCTGAGTACCATGTTCTAGAAATGTAGCCTATGCTATCACCTCTGTGAGAACTGTTATCATCTCACACCTCAGTCTTCTCGGGCTTTCCATGGTTCTCTTCAGGTAGAAAGTGCCCAACGACACTAGGTTTGGCCTTTAGGAAGTCATCCCTTCGCCTCATTCTTTTCAACCCGGCAAAATGAACCTTTTTTGTCCGTCCCTCCTGACAGTTGTACTTCAAAATGTTGAGGCAAGGAACTCAAAAAATAGATACAATACAATAAAAAACAGGGGCGGATCCAGAGATCTCTACATGGGGGTTCAGGTTGAACCAAAATTGAACAGCCAAAATATTATGGAATCAGATGTGCGGTTGACACTTGTAATAACGACAATCCGATTGTGTTAGTGGGAATCGCATGCTTTTAAAACACACTACGGACATAATATTATAATATTTTTCCATCATCGACCACACCACAACTGCGCTCTCCAGCCGGCCTCAACACGTAACCAAAGTCGTTGCCACAGCACACCACCATCGCTGGAGACTGAGTCGGAGCGCAGTTGTGGTGTGGTGGACGATGGAAAACCTGTACAGGACCAAATGCTGCTGCTAACCCTACATTTTAGCCCCGACACATAATCATAATATACACTCAATCTGCGGACAGAACTGTTTCGTCCTTTGTTGACTCGTCAGCGCAGCACAGAGCAAATGAGGCCGAATCTCAATCATAATATACATGTATGCAATCGACTGGCACACAGGTTCAGTGAGGGCTTGAAGACCCTTTCAACTGTTACTTCTTGTAAAGATTGAATATGCAAGCCATGGGTACGTTGAGAGCCAGGAATGCCGAAATGACAACTACAAATACAATATACATGTATAAGTTACTTTCCCTGTCCATTTGTACTTTCGGAAATTTTTGGCATTTTTACGATGCGAAATGCTCTATAGTCACAGGACAAGAGCATCGTCTTCACTTTAGTGACAGAAACAACAACAGCGAAACAGTGTCGACAATTTTACCATCCTTCCAATGTCATCTAAAACACATCGCTGGCGCAGCACTCCGTTCCTGCGGAGGAACAACTAGTCACTACTGCATGCTGCAGCAAGTAGAGATTACTGACTTTGCTTGGATGTCGGAGCCCTCATCTTCTGAGGAGCTTGAACTCTACGTGTACGGTTCGAAGTTAGTTGAAGAGTGTCAGTACTCGGAACATCCTTTCTCTTCTGCAAAAAAACTTGTCCAAGGAATACTGACCACACCACACCCATCCTGAGCAGCAGTGAATGACAGCGCCAATGGAGGTAAGTTTGGATCGTTTCGAAAGATCAAAAAGGAAATAACCACCCAATGTTGTCTACAGTGTCCGTTTGTAAATCACGGACGTGAACACCAGTACAGACTACTATCCGTACAGTATCGATCCACCGCACGCGAGTGCACTGTAGTCATTGACTCAGTGACTGCACTGACTGTGATCGGACGGACGCCCTTTTGTGCACACATGATATTTTCGATATTTTCTCAGCCGCACACTTTGCAAAATTTAGGGGGTTCCATGGAACCCCCGGAACCCCCCCCCCCCCCTCGATCCGCCACTGAAAAATATTCTAAGCACTCGCAGACTCCATTGCAGCCATTTACACATTAGGGTACCTCCTAGTGAACAGTTAATGACGTATGCAGCAAAGAGACCGTTTTGTGTTTGAGTTGAGGGACCCTACAATAAATATCAACCATGATCCTCTATTTCCACTGATGAGCTAAGTTAGAACGAATCAGGTTTTTGGACGGTCTGGCAATTTAAACGAAACCCTCCTCGGTATGGTGGTGATGCGTAAGTGGATTGGGTCGGCATCACTCGCTTACCTGACTCTGGGTTTCCTGAATCAAGCTCAGTGCTTGGGTTTTCAGTTGGTAGTCCTTGGCCGAGGCGTAAGTGAACACAAATATGAAGGATCGCGGGAGGGAGCGTCGCAGCGCCAGGTTGATACCGCCGACTGCCATCTCGGGACAATCCCCTCCGCCGTGCACTTCCAGCGATGCCTCCACCGCATTCTCAAACGTCGCCTGATCGGCAGTGAGCGTAGCGAGGTTAACCTCTGTGCACCGCAGGGCAGCAACAACAACAAAGCACATTCACACCATCTCTGATCCAACATACACTCATGTGACATCGTGTAATATCACGTAACCCGTTCTCCAATCCTAGGTCACAACGATCGCCCTACATGTAATTGGAAGTGGTGCAAAGGTCTACTTAGACAAGTAATTTGTCAATTAACAGAATGGTTGGAATACACATCATGCATACAGAGCGTTTCTCTACCAATTGTGGTTGCTTCGGCAAGGGAAAGAAGCCATATTTGGTATTCACAGCCATCAGCCCTCTCCAAATCCAGGATATCCCGCACAGGGCTGTGGCAGTGACAGGTACTAGTCACACTAATTGCCAGATCACTTATCAACAGCCATAACATTTTCAATACTTGAAGTAACCACAACTGCTGGAAATGTGCTGGACGGCCTAGACTAAGAGCTTCCGCACGTGCCGACAACATGAACGTGACTCGGAGTAGCGACCTCATCCCGACTCCGAGTGGCGTTTTCCTCCACAATGCGCCAAACACCTTTGGCTTACATACAACACTGCGCCATGCATCAATATACCAGTACCTTGTTTCGCCCAGTGCTCACTCGGGGTTATGGACTCTGACTAGAATAAAGCCAAATGCCGGTGCTGTGCATCCAGTTGCAAAGGTGCAAAGCAGACTGGCTAAGTATCGCAGAGGCTATCATCAAAAATACCACAATGTGCTCATTTCTACTTCGAAGTAGTTTCTGACCTCTGTTTCTCCCGGTAGAAGCTATCGAGCATTTCCTTCTAAGGACCGGGTACGTTGCTAAGTAAAGTTGGAAGTTTACTTCTTGATCTACTCCTGGCCAAGTGTTTCACGCCTGAATACGGGCTCTTCAAATTTCCAGAGCAATCTTACTTTGATGAAAGATGCCAGCAAAGAAAAAATTCTGACTGAAGCGAGACTACAGTCATGTAGGTCTCGATGTACGAACTACTGAAGAAAAGTGAAGGTAGCCAGTTCGCTTCTACGTAGGTGAGAACCAGGGGCAGGGAGTCGTATAGAGTCTATACGACTCCCTGGTGAGAACCATGATACTTGATAGCTGCAGCCAGTGCAGCACTGCAATCTGCAGTGCAGGCTATGATCATACAGTAGTAGCAGGAAACCAGAACTGGCACTGCATGCGGCGCAGTAGGTCGACTTCCGGTATTATCATGCTGTCCCCGGGGAAAATTGCGGAAAAAATCGCAAAAAACGCGGGGAAAAACGCGGCATAATATGGCATAATTTGCGGTGAACTTGCGGTAAATATGCGGTAAATATGCGGTGAATAATATTGATGTGCGGCAATTTTCAGTGAGTATGTAGTGAAATCAATCAGTTACAAGTCTCTGGTGTAAGCACTCGTCATATTTGAGTAAAAAGCCGCCACGATGAGACGTTAATTTGCTGACTGAAAAGTGCACTGTGTGTACGTGTAGTGCAACAAAAAAGTTCAAAAAACGCGGGAAAATCGCGGAAAACGCGGTCTTTTAAGAAATCGCAAAAACGCGGAAAAAACGCGGCCGCGGAATCGCAATTTTCCCCGGGGACAGATCATGGTATTATGGCAACTCCCTGATCAGCAATGACGTATTTATTTCTATGTACGTGAGTATGTAGGTGACCATGCTGACGCCTGAGCCTGTGTGAGACCTCGAGAGGAGTGTCTGAGCCTGAGGATAGGTCATAATTATCATGCATTGGGGTTTGAACTAAGTGTTACTATGAGGCCATGCATCTGCGTTTGAACTTTGACCTTTTCCACGGCTCGTGAAGAATACCGCGTACCGGTGTCTTTTATAAGTTTTATGTCCTGATGCATGGCGCTTTCGGCCCTCATTGGCAGGTGAGCCCTTGCCTTGGCAGAGTTGGTACTTTCTCTGGTATGTTTCATGCATGTAACTGTTCGGTATGTAGATAAAGAAATGGAGCAGAGGTCAAGGAAGTGCCTGTCATAAGGTTTGTATGGTTCTGCCAATTGCACTGCTTTTCGAGCAGAATCTGCCGATTCTTCAAGCATTATCCACCAAGTGCCTTGCACCCTTGTTGCACTCCGCAACGTTACAACGACTCTGGTACCATGACAGCACGGTTTATAAGGGGTAACATTCACCAGGTTATTTCCTGTATTAAACACGGCAAAATATGCCTGGAGCATTCATCTTCTGCCAGCATCGTAAGGTTATGCTGACCGTGTGGTCTCAGACGACCTTTATGCCAGGGCATACGTTTTAGACAAAATGTATATAATAACACATGGTACGGAGGGCATTATGGCTGATTTATGCCCTAGTGCGTAGCCCGAGGTCGTGCACCGTAGCCCAAGGGCCGCAGGCCCGCGGGCTACGGTGCACGACCGAGGGCTACGCACTAGGGCATACAATCAGCCATAATGCACGACGCACCATGTGTTTATTATAGTTCATACATGCCACGTGCCTAGTTGTAGTCATACAAGGGCATCTGTACATCAGTTCAAAGTCCAACATTCTTGTACCAAGAGTTCCCACCAACCATCCAAAAATGGTACTCTTCAAAGACCCTTTTGCGCGATTACACCAACAACCACATTATGGTACGGCCACAGCAGACTTTTATTCAATCACTGCAATTACTTTTAATCATTTAGTGATATTGATAGTGAATGAAGCACCAGCAAGATTTGCTCCAGCCATGTTCACGATGATTGGCGTTGAGCTGGCAGATTGTGCAGCCTGAACCGGTGGCATTTCGTGGTCCAAGGATGCCAACACCTCCTCCACCTCAGCTGCTGATAGCTCTGGCAAGCCAGGAATGGATAAGTCGCTTGGAGGTGCCAGGACTTGCTGCTGCTCCAGTGCTGCGACAGATGGCAGGACTTGCTGCTGCTGCTGCTGCTGCTCCAGTGCTGGGTTGGCCGGGCGTGGTGTCATGCTAGGTGGGCCGCTGACTAACTTCGAGTCTAGCACTGAGGCCATCGTGCTTTGCTGGTCGGCTGATGGGCGGCTGTAGCTTGTCAAGCTTTGGGCATTGCGGTGTCCCGTTATCGCCATGATCTCTCGATCGGAGACACCCTGGTGAGTTAGTGCTGTGATGACGGTAGCTCTTAGACAGTGATTAGTATACGTAAAATCTGTCTCTGCCTTGTGGCATATGTCTTTAAGCATCGTGTCCATCTTGTTCTTACCAATGGGCGAGTTAAAATACCATGGTTGTTTGCCACACTGATCAATGTTGGGGCGTTGAAACAGCCGGTCGCACGACGGATTCAGCTTGCTGAGATACATTTTGATGCTGAACACTTGATGGCTGTCCTGAATACGACCGGCTGTTTGAGCACTCGAATCATTCTGATGGTTCTTCGTTACGAAGTCCGTCGAGAGGGTAAAATATTCCTTGCCGTTGGCATCACGGCACAGAACAAGGTCACCCTTTCTCATGCTGGCTTGTACTTCACGGGCTCGAAGTCCAAAATGTAGGGTCACAAAGAACCAAACTTGTTGGAGCAAAGTCACCGGATCCTTCTTCGTTCCAAACATGTAGTTGATCTTACGAAGATCCGGATCGCTGATTGGGTCCTTGTGTTTAATGGGTCTCAGTTTCCCTTCACGCTTCAGTCTCTTCAAGACCCCATCAAACACATTGTTGCATCTAGCAAACGCGGAATCACTAAAGAGGTCGAATCCGCGATCCTCCAGGTGCCTGTTGAGGGCAGCACGGAAGCCGTTATAGCTGCTCCTTTGATAGGCAGTGCCGTCTTTTTTCTTCATGGCAACATAGCACTTGCAGAGCACTTCCGCCAGCTGCTCCCTCGAACAAACTTTCAGGTCACATTCAATATCGTCGTTTTCTTCAACAAAAGCCTCAAACACTCGGACCCACACACTTGTACAGTCTTTTGTGCTTTTTGGCACTCGCTCATCCAAAATCTCTCCCACATCTTCATCCATTACCGGATTAAAACGACGTTTTGGACTCGGAGAAGACATCACAACTAGAAGATCGATTAAAAGACTGCACTACACGGATAGACCTCGGCAAATAAGGTAAGTTTAGTCTTTTCCCATGTTTTCCTTTCCTTGTTCGTGCTGTGCAGCATGCGTAGTGCCTAAAATTTCTTTGCTTGCAATTCCATTTATGGATTGTACGATCCGTATCCCATATACGGATTGTACGGTCCGCATGCGGAATGGCAAGCAAGGAAATTTTAGGCAGTGCGCATGCTCCATAGTACGTGCGTACGCCTGGGGTCATTCCTAATGGGCATGGGTACGCCGTACCTGGGCATTATCGTCTGATAATGCCCTAGTACGGTGCTGCTCTGATTGGCCAAATGCTAGCAACGACCTGACAACAGGCACGTGACATGTATGAACCGACGATTATGCCAGAAACTATGCCAGAATGATCCACCAAGGGCTAAGCGTATCTATCTGCCCTAACAGTACTGGTAATAAAGTCATTGTGGTAGAGGACCTGTGTGCTGACAGATGCTGACAGGACTCTTGGTATGAAGCCCTGGGGGTTGTTTCGCCTCAAGACATCACACTATCAGAGATCCATGACTGTGTTGCGCGAAATCTTCCAGGATCCATACAGGTACTTCAGTACATACATATGTTATAACCCAATACTAGTTCAATACTAGTACAGTGTATTAGGTAAACACAGTGTCCTCCACCTTGTTTCATGCTGTCAAACTAACAACAGGTACATGTACATGTACTGTACTGGGCATGATCTTCACTGCAGCTACACTCTAGTCTCTAGCTTGTAAGTCTTTGTCTGAAGACAACTAATTATTACAATGATATGCAGCACCAACTCTGCCCTGTAAGTGTTGAGGATTGAACACTCTGTGAATAGAGGACTAGCCCTACTACCCACCCCAACAGTAGATCTACATGTACATGTACAAGTATTGTGGATAGCAAGCAAATGAATCAGCTAATATTTCCAAATAAGGGGATGTTTTGATCTACATATACCGTAAAGTACCGCCAGAGCGCCCCGTCTCGCGAGAGCGCCCCACCTTGATTTTACAGCCAGAGAAAGGAAAATCGTATGGCAGAGTGCAACGAAGTGTGTACGATGTGAGAACCTTAGTGTACTAAGGTCACACTTGGCAGGTTTTTGTGTGGAGCTTGTGTCCTCTTGAAGGTACGGATTGACTGCAAAACGTGCAATATGTGTACAAGGTTCATATCGTATGACCTACAGACAGCAGACCACCTCCACAATACGTCCACGAAAGGATGAGATGGTGGGGCGCTCTGGCGGTACTTTACGGTACATGTACTGTCCGATCGCTATACATACCACTACAATTTTACATGTAAAATCCACCATGTCTATTTGACGGCGAATCACAGTCACCGCCACCATGATGCCAGTGACAATGTATTCCGTAAGGTGCTAACAGCCTGCAAGAGTGTGTCCAAATATTACTGACCAGCCCTTACAAATTTCTTTTCACACAGTGTCATTCATTCCCATACAGTGACTGGATGTTCACAGATTCCTACCTGGGTCGTGGAAGGTCACCAACGCGTAGTTGACGATGGGGATCTCCTGCTGCTCCGAGATGGCTCTGAAGATGTTCCTGACGCCATTCCTGACCTGAAGCAAGTCATCGTACATACTGCCTGTCGTGTCGATGCAAAACGACAGGGTAGCTCCTTCCCAGGTCTGTTCGGTGGCCACTTGGATGTTCTGCGACACATTGCTAACGACGTTCAGGAATTGCCCGGACACAGCGTGAGTGAATATCAGGATGGCCAGGGGCCAACGCGCCGCGTGTGCAGGCGTCGTCCTCGCCATGTCCACAGCGTTGCTTGCCCACAGAGGGTAGAGAGCAGAGCTACGACCCTCGAATGCAGAGTCACACCCAGTAACTTTTCAACAGCAAGACTGCAACACGAGCATAGCAAACCTTACCACATAGACTCGCAGGGCAGTGCGATTTCTTGGAGAGAAGACGCAGCAGAACTTCTTGGTACGGTGTTCTACTCCGCCACAACAAAACAACGAGCTGCTTTCTGTCGAACCTGGAAAGGTTAGCAGTCCCTGTCGTTGGAATTCAGATTACATTATTCTCAGACTCACGGTTGGTAAATAATCAGAGCGACTGAATGAAGATTGTAGGCCTGCCCAAAGGATTGAAGGTAGCAATGGCCAGCAACCTCTCGGCGTGGACCGCAACTGACAACATGCCATCGTTTGTGGTTCTGCACTTGTCTCGGGGCTCTCTCATCGCTGTTAGCGGAGCATGGGACTGCCCATCTCTCCCAGTCGGAGCTGGACAGGCCACGGAGAGCACTTCAGTTTGAAGACAGGCGGCTCTCAGCACCGACGGTCCACTGCTCCAGTCCAGGGGTGCACGCGACTGAGTGCAGAGTGCGAAAGATCAGACTTCGGGATTGCTCAAGTATACGATGCTGTCATTCGCTATTCTCCTAGCTGACAGGATCTGTCTCTGTGTCCGTGGCTTATTCAGGCAAATGGCGGCAATCAAAGTGGCAACATTTGCTTTCTGCGCCCTGGGAGATGTGGAAAAATCTGGCCAGCATTATTTCACTCGGGTAGTTATGACCATTGTCCTGTGGAGAAAGATGGAAATAGACTTTTCATGATGGCTTGATGACGAAAATGCACAACTTGGCGCAGCAAGAGAGCTACGCGTCTCCAGGACAGTCAAGAAAAGAGATAACTGTGCCATTTCGGTTTTGCAACCACGTGACTCTCCGGAAGAAAATAATAGAAAAAGTAGCAGTACCTCCTTCACAGACAGGCAAATCGTGGCGATACAACTTGCCTTTGGTCCCACGATCGGCTCTCAGTATAAATCCCAGTTCTGTACTCCATTCCCTTTTCCAGTCACGTGGTAAATTCCCAATGACAATGTACAGTGTATTGTGCTCTTAGATCTGAGTGACGGGGATGTCATGTAAACGATCAGGTAAATGTTATGCAAAGTATCAAGCATACGCACACGCACATGTAGGTTTTAAATGATTATTTATAGTGCAGTCAGCTGATCGTTTCTGGCTGAACCTCAGAGCTACAGCAATACAATCATCTATATTTGCCCTTCTTCCTCTGCGCAGACTCTACGTCAAAGATCATGTATTTCGGTTTACACAGAAGTAACAACAACTGCAGATCTTTTAGAGTCATCGATACCCTACGCGCAGAGCATTTCAAACGTGGAAGAAAGGGGATCACTCAGAATCTTTTGCAACTCAGAGCACCAACTCGCTCAATTCCCTGTGTAGGTGCTAGTCGCTACCACTGGCAGCAGCTCTAGGACAGTATACTTGCCAACGTTTACAAACCTGAGATCGGGACAATGACATACATGTACATGAATCTAGGTATGACATTTTATCCAAATGTAGCTTTTTGCCAGGCGACATTCTTTCAGTTTCTCATCATCAGCGATCTGCTGATTGCTATACTGATTATAGGCATGACGCTCTGAAATGCAACTGATTCCGAGTGATTACTTACCTTACACGTGCGTATTTCTCTATATTGCAATTCTGTGCTAGAATGTTCATGTATTCCGGTAGATAAAACGAAAGTGGGAATGCACAAGTGAATATTGGCACATATCAATGACTGTTATGTTGGTCTTCAGATTCTCCACCGCTTTTAAAAGCATGTACATAATTGTAACTTTACCCACCGTAGTGCGTGATCCAACTCTCCCACAGACATGTGCAGTATGACCCCATACATATATTCCAGGACATGTTTGTCTGCTATTACTGTACTGGTAGTATTTGCAAGTATGAATATCCACTGGCCTCTCACTGATTACAGAGTCATCAAGAGCTTCTGCGAAAACACCATATTACTGTACCAGACGGTCTGTGGCCTCCTACGGACGAGGGCCAGCTGAAAAACCGGGTCACCAAACCTGATTAGATCCGCTACCATCATCTGCATTGGAGTAGCCGCAACAATATCTGTTATCAGCCCAGAAATAAGCATTGGTAGTCACTTCAGGGCAGGCTGTGTCGCCATGAATTCACACCACACATTCTCCCGCGGGCGTAACGAGTCGCTTCGCTTCGAACGACCAAAATCTGATATCAGACCCTGGCATGTGTCCTTGACAGTTGCAGTCGACTTTTAGCGGTCAGAGCCTTATTGCATGGACCACACAGGCAATGGACATCTACAGACCAGTCCCCGTGTTTGAACTACATACATGACTGTACTGCAAATCAGTCAACCAGCTAACGATAATGAGTACCGCTGAGGAACTGGAGCTGCATAGCATGCTACCCATTCAATATCGCACAAGTGGAGAACCCCTGGTCCTGGATAGGCTACACGCCTCTGGGCCATCCCTCAAATTATTATTATTATTATTATTATTATTATTTGAACAAACGGCGAGGAGACAACAATTTGATAACCGCAATCAGTAATACAAGCTGGATCGACATTTGTGTACACTTTATTCATGTAATGTAAAACTGTGGAGACAATGTGCAATAAAACGATGAAAATGTGAAGAAATGGTGTAGAGAAAATGAGGATTCAAACAAGTTTTCGTACAACACTCATCAGGAATCTTCGTTGTACTAAAGGACAATGACTGAAACAAAATTGAACTATTATAGAAAATCTAAGTTAGAGAAATAACACTAAGAACAACAGCAGTGAAATTTACAAGTGTGAATTTAACAGTTTTATTGCACATTGTCTCCACAGTTTTACATTACATGAATAAAGTGTACACAAATGTCGATCCAGCTGGTATTACTGATTGCGATTATCATTATTATTATTATTATTATTTGAAACTGGGAGGTTGAGCCATAAATAAATGTAGAAAAGAAAAGGACTTATGGATACGAGTTAAGAGTAACTCTCCATCACTGTAATTGGATACTATATACAGTCAGAAAGTGCAATAACTAGGCACAAAACTGACAGAGTACTGAGACATTCGAGATACTACGGAGACGTTTTGAAGCTAGGTGTCAGGACGTCGAATGTCTCAGTACTCTGTCAGTTTTGTGCCTAGTTATTGCACTTTCTGACTGTATATAGTATCCAGTTACAGTGATGGAGAGTTACTCTTAACTCGTATCCATATGTCCTTTTCTTTTCTACATTATTATTATTATTATTATTATTATTAAACTTTGAATAGGGCAGTCCCAATAAAGATAATAATAAGAAGAAGAAGAACAGTTTATTAAATAAGAAGAAGAATACGAAATAGTGGTAGCGACTTTGGCGATTTGTAAGAAAGGGTTTGCTCCCCACACTGGAGCTCGCGCTATTCCGCCGACTTGACTTGACACTTGACTGACTCACGACTGCCATCCAGAGCACTCGAGAAATCCATGGAACCTTCGACTCGGCAAACCTGCAAGACAGCATCACTCCCTGCTCAATACACAGTGTTTTGGGGGAATTCACCCCTCATCAGTTGAGCTTGAGTAGGCTGAGGAAGATTGTGCCCGAAGAGCACCACTCATAGTGCTTTCCGGGGCCGGGCACAAACATTACCAGTCTTTCCAGAACCAGGGACTGACCGACCACCGTGAAAGTAGAATGGCTCTGTTGGAAGAAGGCGTCGTATTTCCATATGACTGGACACTTGACTGACTCACGACTGCCATCCGAAGCAACCGAAGCATTGAACCTTCCACTCTGCAAACTGCAAGAAAGCACCACCCTCAGCGGCATTACACAGTATGTCGGGGAATTCACGCCTCATTGGTTCAGCTGAGCTTGAGTATACATGCAGGTGAATGCAATTTGTGCCGCAGGAGTGCTACAACCTTAATTATTGTGCCATGGCAGCCGAAGCATGACTGGCACCAATTTTCAGCGACGCTCCGTTTCCAGCGCGACAAACACCTCGCGAACTCCTGACGGCAGCGTGAGTCAGTGTCGCCTTCGGAGGTGAACGACAAGCGCACAGGACCGTCGGCCACTCACAACAGAGTTGTCTCCAAATCCACATCTGCACTAATCGCAAACCTGCACTGGAGAGACTTATTACAATTCATTGTTATTGTTCAGCGCAAATGTTTTTTCTAAGCGGCCAGTGAAACCGTGTTTGATACAATCATTATACATTTTATTGCAACCCCTCCAGGCGCAGTGGGAACAGCGGTCAATGTGCAGAGAAAAGGTGTTCGCCCTCCACAGCAGATACACTTAGGTAGGGGTTGTAAGAGAAAAGAATAAGAAAAGAAACAATAGGAATTTAACTTGTCAGGTGATATACAGACAAAAGCAAATACAGTAGAGAGGTGATATAAATCGCACAAGAAAGAAAAACTCAAGCGCTGAATGTGTGACCCATACACATAGAAAGAATGAGAAAAGGGCTGCCAGGAAGGTCGTCCAGAACTCATTAGTCACGTGATTTGTCGTGTTGTCGCACCACACATTACACTAGCTAGGTGTCCTCACACTTGCACCTTTCTTTCATGTTCTTTCTTTGTGTATGGGTCACTTTTATAGCTAAGTCCATGCTAAATACCCACTACCGAAACAAATCTGCCTCACCGTGAAATGCTGGGGGCTCCTAGACATGGCGCTTGGTAATATTTTCGCGAGGGTGTTCTCTGGTGCTTGGCCCTGGGCTGGATGGGACTTGAAATGGTCTCGCAGGAGTTGGAGTGATGGCGGCCACGAGTCGTCGCAACTCTTGTAGATTCAGGTACGCTGTCACGGCGATGACGGTCAGCAGGTGCGGAAGGCCAGTAGTCATGGCGATGACGGTCAGCAGCAGGAGCGGAAGGCCAGTAGTCAGGTCGATGGAAACCATCCTCTCTGCTACGAGTATGCAGATTTAGCTACTTGCGTTGTTGGTAGAATCCTATGCTTTCCTTAGGGGAGTGGGATGGTGTTACAGTGTCACCTGCTGTCCACGTTCCTATCCCCTCTATCCACGGCCCTTCGGCCTATCACCTACCATCCCGCCTATCTAGTTGACACCTTTACACCATTATACCGTACAGTATTTCCGCGCATATATTATAAGCCCACGGGCCTGTGATCGAATCCATGTGTCCATG